GAGCCCGCTGGCTGCGGGGTGGGCTGGGGCAGTGCCTTGCATTTTTAAGAAGAGGCTGGACGAGCCCCTGGCTGGGCTCACCTGTCCCCAGCACTTGTTCCTACCCAGAGCAAGGTCGGACTGGATGATGCTTTGAGGGCCCTTCTGACCCTGGCATCTGTGACTCTGAAGCTAGAAACCTCCCCCCGCTCCCTTCACACGTATGGGGAGTTTCTGCCTGAGTGTCGGGGAGGAGGGGGTCTGTCCACCCCCCCCCTCCCCCCCCCCCCCCCCCGTCACGCCGCTCACCTGCAGAAACATCCATGATGGATGTGGTCCTCAATCCAGGCGTCCTAGTCCTGTTCCTTATTCCGTAGCCTCCAGCTTTGTCCAGAGGTGATGCCCCCTCCCACAGCCCCTTTGTGAGGGACGCGGGGGGTGGGGGGAGTACGATGATGCTCTGCTTGCACCTTTGCCCGTATCCTCTTTCTGCAGCTCCCTTTGCATGGTCCCATGTGGCCCCTTGGGCTCCCTCAGCATCTTCTCCCATGGGCCTCCACCCCCCACCTACCTCCCAACATCGCCACCTCCTTGTCCATGTACTGCCACTGCTTTGTCTATACCAGCGATGCTCAATCTTAAGATCTTTCCAAGGGTGCCACACAATGTTAGCACTGTGAGGTGTGCACGCATGATTCATAGGATAAACCCCAATATGTCAAATAGGAAGTCATAGCATTAAAAACATTCTGACCTGCGATGGTCTTTCTGAGCTCTTTGCAACACAAGAATTGCCCTAGTGTTTTCCTGTCGTCAAAAACCAAGTGCAACTTCAGAGCTGGCCTTTTTGTGCGGTGCCTCAAGTCTAAAAAGGGGAGAAAACAGCAGCCCCTTCAGTGTCCCTGCAGTTCTGTACATCTCCCCTGCTGCTTCTGCTGACCTTATGGAAACAAGCAGGATGTGACCCCCCCACAAGCACAATAACAAGAGGCAACTGGCGAGAATCCCAAAACCAATGTGTCTTTTTATTTTGATTTGCTTTGTTTTTAATATCTCACAATTTGCAAACACAATCTAATGATTGACACACAAAAGTCTCACTTGCCCAATACAATGTTGGGCTCATCAGTCCCATCCACAGGACTTTCAAACACAACTGGCTGATGTAAAAATGCAGTCTGGAGATATTTAATGATGATCCGGGGTTTTCAAAAGTGAATATAATCTCAGGATTTACCATCGCACATTGGGGATTTTCAAGGCCATCCAGTGATTCTGCTTTTCCTGAGGGTGAAAGCTGGTTTCAGTTTTGGATGGCTTGGAACTGGCAGGTGCCTTGTTTAAATGCTTGCAACACATCAGTCCTCTACCAATGTCTTTAGCTTAGGGCTTCAATCCTCCCTGTCATCATTTTTCAATATGATTTGCATTATGGTAACAAAGACCTAGTCTAGGGGCTCATTGTGCCAGCTGTGGTAGAAATGCAGGTTCAAACCCTGTCCCACTTGCTATGGTACAGACAGGCAGAGCTAACAGAAACGAGCATTGTTATCTTCTCCAGCTTGAAACTGTAGCCTTATTTGAGAAGCAGCCTGGGTGGGATTTGGAGCAGGGGGGCTGCTTTTGTGTTCAGAGTGCCAGTTTCAATGCCTGTGACCTCTACGCAAAGGAGCACAAACTACACCACAACCAGACAGAAGTAGTTTGAGAACTCACGCATCTCCTTGTTCCTGGCCCAGTGCATGTGCCCCCAGGAAGCAAGCGGAGCCAAGAAGTCATTTAATTCAGTTCTAGCTGAGCTTCACAGTCACATAGCCCTGCAAGTAATAGTAATAACCACAGTGGGATATTCAGAGTCCAGGACACACTGTCCATGTCTGATAAAAGATAACCCAGTCTTAGGGTCAATGTGTGGCAATTTTCTGGTTCTGACGTGACCTCCAACTCCTCCTTATTGGCTTTCCAAACCATGACAGTGCAAAGGGTGCAAGTTAGCAATGATTGCAGCTGAAAGGCCACTTATGTGTAGCAGGAAAAGGTTCCTCCTGCACTCAAAGACCTTTTCTCTTCCCAAAGAACCCAAAAGGATCTGATTCCCAGGCTTGCTTCTCAAGGACTAATTGTCAAGTTATGACCAACAGGTGTTACTTCTCACACAGCACAGCTTAATGTTGCTCAAGCCACACCAAGAGGTCCTAGGGTGGGGCTAAGAAGATGAAGAAGACAGGGGCACCTCCAATGGTGCTCTGGGATCGTGGGTCACCTGGAGATCATGACAGAACAAAATGATTTTGTTGTCCAGGCTAAGCTGATACTGCCATATGTAGGCCTTCTGTCGGGGTTTCAGTGAAAGCTTGAGGATCTTTTCCTCCTCCCTAAGGTGGGGCCAGTCTTCTTGCTCTGTGTTGAGCCCCAACCCACCGTACTGAGCCGGCAAGGAGAACTGGGCTTTGGCCAGAATCATGCCCAGGGCTTCTGGCTCATCACAACCTGGCAAAGAAATGTTCCAGTCATGCCCAACTTTGGCCAATATCTCTTGTGCGAAGCCCATCTTGCAGAGTACCTTGAAAGACTGGCTGATGAGGGAGTTAGAGTTATTGTGGAGGGTCTTAATGAGCTCCCAGGTGCCTTGGGCTTGGCCGAGTCCCCCAGGGAGGAAGTCCTTCACGTCTGGGTACAAAGACAAGAAGCTGTTGTTGACGTAGTCCGGGACATACCAGTAAAGATAACTTAGGACTCCATGTTCTTCGGGTCGCTGGGGCAGTTTCAGAGGCTGGTCAGCAGCTTGCTGCCCAATTCTCAGGTTCTTCACAAGCCGCACAGTATCTGGGAAGGCAATGAGGAACCCTTCAGGGATGGCAAAGTACCGGTGCCCCCCAAGGCATGTGGGATGGAGCTGTTGGGCCTGCGTGACTGGCCCCTCACTCAGGTCTGTGGCCTCCACATACGTATTGCCATGGATAACATATAGGGAGGAGTGCCAACGGGAGCCAAAGTAGTAGTCCCCACCATGAAGGGATGGGTGCAAGGGTTGCATCTTGATACAGGGTGAAGTGGGAAGGGCAGAAAGGAGCAGGTAGCAACCAAGGTCAGAGCGGACGATGATGTCCCCATCACGGCTGCTGAAGATGTGGACTACAGGGGCAGTCTTGGAGGGTGGCATTGCTGCCTGTGGCTGGAAGACAAGGATTATGGGAGAAAGCATTTTCCAACCATCAAAACTTTGCCTAATGTCCTTAGACCACCCAACTCTATTCCTGTTCTTCTCCCCTGTCCTCCCCACAGACCCTCCACAATGCATTACTCGAATCTCCATCTCCCTGTCTCCAGGTTGCATATGACTCAGCCTCATGTCATGTGCGGGGATGAAAAGGTCAGCTGCACCAACAGGAAATATTCCCCTTTGGCCCCTTTGGCACTGGTGAGGCCACATCTGGAGTACTGTGTCCAGATTTGGGTCCCCCACTATGAAAAGGATGTGAACGATAGAGAGTGCAATGCAAATAGTTAGAGGGATGGGGAACATGATTTATGATGAGAGACTGAGGTAACTGGGATTATTTTGTCTGGATAAGAGAAGACTAAGAGGGGATTTAACTATACGGTGGTGTGAAATTTCGCCACCAGTTTTGTTTCAACACTGTTTCAATCTGTCTCGAGGTTGAAACAGCAAAATCAAAATGAAATAGATATGGTCAAAACAGCCTCAAAACGAAACGGGACAAGCTGAAATGCTTTGCCGTTTCGACGAGCCCCAACCCACCATACTGAGCCAGCAAGGAGAACTGGGCCTTGGCCAGAATCATGCCCAAGGCTTCTGGCTCATCACAACCTGGCAAAGAAATGTTCCAGTCATGCCCAACTTTGGCCAATATCTCTTGTGCGAAGCCCATCTTGCAGAGTACCTTGAAAGACTGGCTGATGAGGGAGTTAGAGTTATTGTGGAGGGTCTTAATGAGCTCCCAGGTGCCTTGGGCTTGGCCGAGTCCCCCAGGGAGGAAGTCCTTCACGTCTGGGTACAAAGACAAGAAGCTGTTGTTGACGTAGTCCGGGACATACCAGTAAAGATAACTTAGGACTCCATGTTCTTCAGGTCGCTGGGGCAGCTTCAGAGCCTGGTCAGCAGCTTGCTGCCCAGTTCTCAGGTTCTTCACAAGCCGCACAGTATCTGGGAAGGCAATGAGGAACCCTTCAGGGATGGCAAAGTACTGGTGCCCCCCACGGCATGTGGGGTGGAGCTGTTGGGCCTGCGTGACTGGCCCCTCACTCAGGTCTGTGGCCTCCACATACGTATTGCCATGGATAACATATAGGGAGGAGTGCCAACGGGAGCCAAAGTAGTAGTCCCCACCATGAAGGGATGGGTGCAAGGGTTGCATCTTGATACAGGGTGAAGTGGGAAGGGCAGAAAGGAGCAGGTAGCAACCAAGGTCAGAGCGGACGATGATGTCCCCATCACGGCTGCTGAAGATGTGGACTACAGGGGCAGTCTTGGAGGGTGGCATTGCTGCCTGTGGCTGGAAGACAAGGATTATGGGAGAAAGCATTTTCCAACCATCAAAACTTTGCCTAATGTCCTTAGACCACCCAACTCTATTCCTGTTCTTCTCCCCTGTCCTCCCCACAGACCCTCCACAATGCATTACTCGAATCTCCATCTCCCTGTCTCCAGGTTGCATATGACTCAGCCTCATGTCATGTGCGGGGATGAAAAGGTCAGCTGCACCAACAGGAAATATTCCCCTTTGGCCCCTTTGGCACTGGTGAGGCCACATCTGGAGTACTGTGTCCAGATTTGGGTCCCCCACTATGAAAAGGATGTGAACGATAGAGAGTGCAATGCAAATAGTTAGAGGGATGGGGAACATGATTTATGATGAGAGACTGAGGTAACTGGGATTATTTTGTCTGGATAAGAGAAGACTAAGAGGGGATTTAACTATACGGTGGTGTGAAATTTCGCCACCAGTTTTGTTTCAACACTGTTTCAATCTGTCTCGAGGTTGAAACAGCAAAATCAAAATGAAATAGATATGGTCAAAACAGCCTCAAAACGAAACGGGACAAGCTGAAATGCTTTGCCGTTTCGACGAGCCCCAACCCACCATACTGAGCCAGCAAGGAGAACTGGGCCTTGGCCAGAATCATGCCCAAGGCTTCTGGCTCATCACAACCTGGCAAAGAAATGTTCCAGTCATGCCCAACTTTGGCCAATATCTCTTGTGCGAAGCCCATCTTGCAGAGTACCTTGAAAGACTGGCTGATGAGGGAGTTAGAGTTCTTGTGGAGGGTCTTAATGACCTCCCAGGTGCCTTGGGCTTGGCCGAGTTCCCCAGGGAAGAAGTCCATCACGCGTGGGTGGAAAGAGAAGAAGCTGTTGTTGACGTAGTCCGGGACATACCAGTAAAGATAACTTAGGACTCCATGTTCTTCAGGTCGCTGGGGCAGCTTCAGAGCCTGGTCAGCAGCTTGCTGCCCAGTTCTCAGGTTCTTCACAAGCCGCACAGTATCTGGGAAGGCAATGAGGAACCCTTCAGGGATGGCAAAGTACTGGTGCCCCCCACGGCATGTGGGGTGGAGCTGTTGGGCCTGCGTGACTGGCCCCTCACTCAGGTCTGTGGCCTCCACATACGTATTGCCATGGATAACATATAGGGAGGAGTGCCAACGGGAGCCGAAGTAGTGGTCCCCACCACAAAGGGAGGGGTGCAAGAGGTGCATCTTGAGGCATGGTGAGGTGGGGAGGGCAGAAAGGAGCAGGTAGCAACCAAGGTCAGAGCGGACGATGATGTCCCCATCATGGCTGCTGAAGATGTGGTCTACCGGGGCAGGCTTGGAACGTGTCATTGCTGCCTGTGGCTGGAAGACAAGGATTATGGGAGAAAGCATTTTCCAACCATCAAAACTTTGCCTAATGTCCTCAGACCACCCAACTCCATTCCTGTTCTTCTCCCCTGTCCTCCCCACAGGCCCCTGCTATCTCATTCTGTGATCCAAGAGCCCCGCACACACAATCTTTGCCAGTGCCCCTCACTCTTAACTCACAGCATCTTGCTACCACATCCCAAGCACAGATCTCCTGTCACTTACCCCAGGGGGATGCCCTCTGAAGATATTTCTTGCCCGGCAAGGAAAAAAGATGGCTTCTTTGTGGGAAGATCCACCCGGAGGTAACAGACCTGAGATCTGAACTAGCTCAGATACCCTCAGGAAAGAGAGTGACTAAAGTTGTTTACTTACCTACTGATGACTCCTCTCCCTTTTCTCACTGACTTCACCTCCTCCAGGAGCCTTCTTTCTCTCAGTCCTTCCCCCTTTCTGCTTTTCAGCCCTTCTCCTGTTCCCCTTTGGACAAATCTGCATCCAGCTCTATGTAGATGGGCCTTTAGTACCACCCCACCACACCCCTGCCTCTACATAGATAGCATCATTGCACCCGTGCTCTTATCTGCCCTCCCCACATGCCAACAGCTGTTGCTATCAGCTTGTCCCAGTCCACTGCCACTTGTACATAAGTTGTAAGTCATGGGATCAGAATCAGGCTTGAAGATTTTCTGGCTTCTGAAAGAGCTGAAAACTGAAGCAGGGGGCCTGTCTCCTTTAGAGGTACTGGCACTGATCCAGGCACCCCTTGGGCAGTAGGATGAACTGACTCAGAGAGGTGTAGGGTGGGTCTCGCTTCCCCAAGTTATGACCATTTCTGAGCCAGCCACAGGGTAGGGAGATCCTAGTTACTCGCATCTCCATCTCCCTGTCTCCAGGTTGCATACGACTCAGCCTCATGCCATGTGCGGGGATGAAAAGGTCAGCTGCACCAATAGGAAATATTCCCCTTTGGCCCCTTTGGCACTGGTGAGGCCGCATCTGGAGTACTGTGTCCAGATTTGGGTCCCCCACTATGAAAAGGATGTGAACGATAGAGAGTGCAATGCAAATAGAGGGATGGGGAACATGATTTATGATGAGAGACTAAGGTAACTGGGATTATTTTGTCTGGATAAGAGAAGACCGAGAGGGGATTTAATTATAAGGCGATGCAAAATTTTGCCACCAGTTTTGTTTCAACGCTGTTTCAACCTATTTCGAGGTTGAAACAGCAAAATCAAAATGAAACAGATATGGTCAAAACAGCCTCAAAACAAAACGGGACATGCTGAAACGTTTTGCCGTTTCGACGCTGTTTCAACGTTCGCCCATAGGCTATAATGGGGAAGGTCAAAACAGCCTATAACTTTGGCCAGCCTATAACTTTGTCCTTTCTGGACAGATTTGGATAAAACTTGCAGAAATGGTAGCCCCTTCTGAGGAAATAAAGCATGCCAAGTTTCAGGGAGATAGCTGCAGGGAGTTCGGAGAAACTGCATGCCAAAATCTTGAGAGCCAAACTTGTGTCATGTGTATGTGTTAAGCCACAGCAGGGTCAAAACTGCAGGTGTGCTAGCCCCTGTGCAGGCCACAAAGCCTGTTAAGTTTCAAGGAGATAGGTGCAGGGAGTTCAGGGAAACTGTACCCCAAAATCCTGAAAGCAAAACTCATGTCCCGTGTATGTGTTAAGCCACAGTGGGAAACTAAACTGCAGGTGTGCTAGCCCCTGTGCAGGCCACAAAGCCTGTTAAGTTTCAAGGAGATAGGTGCAGGGAGTTCAGGGAAACTGTACCCCAAAATCCTGAAAGCAAAACTTGTGTCACGTATGTGTGTTAAGTAACAGCAGGGTCAAAACTGGGGCAGTTGATTGTCTGTATTGATTATTATAAAAAAGGGAAGAAGGAGGACCCAGGAAACTATAGGCCAGTTAGTCTTACCTCGATCCTGGGTAAGCTTTTTGAGAGAATTATCCTGGCACATGTCCACGAGGAGCCAGCAGGGGAGACTATGCTTAGGGGCAACAAACATGGGTTCATTAGAGGCAGGTCCTGTCAGACCAACCTGGTGGCCTTCTATGACCAGGTCACCAAATCCCTGGATGCAGGTGTCACAGTGGATATAGTCTTTCTGGATATTAGGAAGGCCTTTGACATGGTCTCTCACCCCATTCTCATTAGAAAACTAGGAGACTGTGGCGTCGATACCTACACGGTCAAATGGGTCACTAATTGGCTGGAGGGCCGCACCCAGAGAGTGGTGGTGGACGGGTCTTATTCGACCTGGAGGGATGTGGGCAGTGGGGTCCCCCAGGGCTTGGTCCTTGGACCCGTGCTGTTCAACAACTTCATCAGTGACTTGGACAAAGGGGTAAAATGCACCCTGTTCAAATTCGCAGATGACATTAAGATGTGGGGGGAAGTGGGCACGCTAAAAGGGAGGAATAAGCTGCAATCGGACCTAGACAGGTTACAGGGGTGGGCGGATGAGAACAGGATGGGTTTCAACACTGACAAGTGCTGGGTACTGCACCTGGGGAGGAAGAACCAGCAGCATACCTACAGGCTGGTGAACTCCCTTCTCATGAGCACAGAGGCAGAAAAGGATTTTGGAGTCATTATTGATGCCAAAATGAACATGGGCGGGCAGTATGGGGATATGGTGAGGAAGGCCACCTGTACCTTGTCATGCATCCACAGAGACCCTCCCCCTCTATGTGACACTGGTCAGGCCGCAGTTGGAGTACTGTGTCCAGTTCTGGGCACCGCACTTCAGGAGGGATGTGGACAGCACAGAGAGGGTCCAGAGGAGGGCCACCCGCATGATCAGGGGGCAGCAGGGCAGGCCCTACGACAAGAGGCTACGAGACCTGAACCTGTTCAGCCTTCACAAGAGAAGGCTGAGGGGGGATCTAGTGGCCATTTACAAACTAGTCAGGGGAGACCAGCGGGCACTGGGGGAGTCCCTGTTCCCCCGAGCACTCCCAGGAGTGACAAGAAATAACGGTCACAAGCTGGCAGAGGGTAGATTCAGACTAGACATCAGGAGGTGCTACTTCACTGTCAGGGCGGCTAGGATCTGGAACCAACTTCCAGGAGAAGTGGTGCAGAAGCTGGATAAACACCTTGCCAGGGTCGTTTGACCCCAGTACTTTTTTCTGCCCATGGCAGGGGGTCGGACTTGATGATCTGCTCAGGTCCCTTCCGACCCTACCTACTATGAAACTATGAAACTATTTCCTCTCCTTAGTCCTGGTTTGGTAGGTGTTAATCCGTGCTCATTAAATCATTATGTTGTAGCTAGGTACTGTGCATTGAGCTGGTCCCTGAGTGAATCATGATTAATTGGTAATTTAGCAGCCAGGCCTGCAGTAGTCCCAGCCAATCAGCAAAGGATCAACAAGTAGAGTTAATCTTTCCAGACTAGCAAAACACCACAGGGATCCAATGAGAGTGCATATGGCTCACAAGCACCTGCAGACCCATCCCCGTCCCCTTCCCCACCATCAGGCTCGTTCCCCTATTCGTGTGGATCATGTAACAGAGGAATCAGAAGGTCAGGGGGGAGGTAAGGGGTGATCAGTATTTTTTGCTGATAGATAATCTCCTCAGTGTCCTCTTCTCTGTGGCTACTGGTCTGAATGTCCTGGGTACAAGCCTGTGCTGTGGCTGATACCTGACAGTGTCCCAGTGAGAGGAGGCTTGCATGGTGATAATGACCTTCTTCTTTTCGGGATGGCACCATAACTCACTTGCCTATTAGGCGACAGTCTTCAGGCAGGAGCATTTCCTCAAGGCCCCTCAAGCTCGTTGGGGACAGAGTGAGAAGGGCTTGGTGGGATAAAGTCACTCCCTACAAGTCATGTCTGCCCTTCTCTTCTCCCAGAGGAGACACTGCACCCAGCCTGCACTACGAGCAGCTCACAGAGCACACTGTTCACTTTGGCTGACAGCATGCACTGTCTGAACATCTACAAAGTTTAATGAACTCTTCTTGTGCTTGACAAACAGGCGCACTCATAGTCCTCTTCTTTGGTTAGCCTTTAAAGTATGATGATGTCCAAAGCCCTGAAGCCCAGCACCTCTGGAAGAAGCTTTCTGTCAGTGCTCCCAGCATCAAAATGAAAAGAGTAACCATCCCCTCACTGCTGCCTCATATATCCAGCCATCCCCAAATTCAGGAAAACCTAGGGCCACTTGGGGTGCTTGTACACACCACAGGTTGTAATCCTCATTAAATTAAATACGTTTATAAAATTTCTGTCTGTGTTTGGACGCACTAAGCTTTTGAACAAATTAAGCTTTGGAGTGTCTTGTCAGGGTTTGCATGTACTAGGTTTTTGAACAAATTAAGCCTGGTCTCCAGTCAGCACCACAGAAGAGAGCTGTGCCGCTGGAAGCCGACAAACCTCACAAGAAAAAAAGAAGTGGAAGCAATTCAAAAGCGAAAGCAATTCAAAAGCGAAAGCAATTCAAAGGGGTGAATTCCAAAAAAGTCACAGCCATCTGGTGGACAAACAGGCTCATTGCATGTCTTCGACTGCCTTGGTGTTTGCACGCAACAAATCCATGGACAGGATGCTTTAATTCCTGGAGAGACAAATTAAACTACGTCCAAGGAGTTAATGCACATGTCACCCGTGCGGTACTCCAAGAGGTACCCCCTCTCCAATTGAAGGGATCAAAGCAGGTGCAGAAGCACTGTGGGATGTGTAGGGACTCTCCTCCCCCTATAGAGCAAAGCCAGACCACCAATGGGGACTTAACCATATACCTTTTAATGAGGGAACAATACTGGGAATATAACCGGTATAAACCAGGGGGTATAGGGGACACTACAATGCCCCAAAGGGGCTGGATTCAACAAAGGTTAGACGCTTACAATCATAGACATATTCATCCAGTTGACAAAAGACAGGGTTAACCAAAAGGTAAAACACAAACAGCAGAACAAACAATACTGGTTGGTATTACTGGAAATAGAAAAGCCACAAAATACAAAACGTCAAATTACAAGGAATATAGGGCTTAGGTACCTGGAGGAAAACACAATGGCCCCTTTCCACTGCAAGAGGAATTTTTCATTGTTAGCTCATTCACCCCAAGTCACCAAAGCTGGGACTTGAGCTTAGAGCTCTTACATGGTAGGCAGAAACTCTAGCACACAGCCGCCACTGCTGGTACTACTCCAACCTGCTGGGGGTCTTGACCTTCCTGGAGCCCTGGCCTCACGTTGAGCTGCCTGGCCTCTGATTGGAGAAGCTAGAAGCCGAGCTGGGAACCTCCGCGGGAGCTGCGAAGATCTTGCTGGCACTGGGGAGCCTCTCCTACTGGCCACAGCCTCTCGTAGGAGATCCTGGAGCCCAGCTGGAAGCCTCTCCTGCCAGCCGCATGCCATGCTGCTGAGGACCCCAGTGCTGCCTACAGGTCCCACTCCTTCAGGCTCTTCTGGGGCAACTGCTCCCGCCCCGCTGGCTCAGCTCTTGCCAGATCCTTAAAGCTCCTTCCTTGGAATCCCAAGTCCTCCAATCATCTTTTGCGCTTCCAAAACCATTGGGCTAAGTCACTACCAGCCAGCCCATCACACACAAGAAAGACTTTTAAAGCATCCAGAAATCCCGCTCATGCAAACAGACATGCAGTTGCAGTGCACAAAAGGACAAAAAACATGGTGTGTACAAAGGCCCTTGGGTACCAGGAAGGAACTGTCTACCCACTAGCTGAGCAGCCTCCATGGATGGCATCTTTTGGCTCACCAAGGCACAAGGGAGAGCACCATGAATATACCTGATGCTTCCTGCCTAACATGACCATTTCAGTTGCAAGAGGAAACATATTTGCAAGATTGAAGGTCAGACCTGTCTGGTGCCTGTAACATGGTGGCCCAAAATCTCAGAAGTGACTGAGCCCTTGAAAAACAACCAGCATGAGTGTATTATGAATACTCAGGATAACCCCTGGCACAACACTGGAACTGGTCCAGGACTCTGGACAGCTTGGCTACTGGCAGATTTCCAAAATGGAGCTTAGCCTGATTTTGCTACATACGGTGAATTCAATTAACAGTCAGAATGAAGCAAAAGCACAGGGAAAGGTTTTTAAATAGGCAAATAGCCAAAGATCCAAAAAGTTGGCAAACAAGAGGATGTATAAATATCTACTCATGATTAGCTCATATTCCAAAAGTGATGGCAGGGATAGAAAATCAGTAACAGTAAGAAAAGTAACAGATTAAACTCACCATCAGGCACCTTTCCTGAGTTTTGACAATTCATCTACTCCTGCCCAATTCAGGAGCTGGAAAAGGCATTTGAAAGGGTCCCTTCAACTCCTACCTCTACCTGACACCCCCAAATCCTTCAAATGTCCAGTGTTGAGGCTGGCAGACAGGTGTTGCCCCACGAGGTGATAGGTTTGAAAGAGGGTCACTGCTTGGCTTCTGAGATAGAGAGGCTGGCTGAGGATTGTCCTGCACTGGAGGAGTCTGCTGATGCTAGACAGGGAAGGAAAGGATGTGGGATCAGTTTCCCTCCCCAGAACATCCTGCTCTGATCGGGGCACCCGGGACATCTCTCAGGGGCTGTTCTTGGGACTCCCAATCACCACCTGCTATGGTTGTTCTTTCCATAGACACAACAAAGGGAAAGCTCCCCCAGACATGTACTTTTAGAGCTGGATTGCAGTCAGCACCCATGTAAGGTGAAAGGCCCCATGCCCCACTCTGCAATGCCCCAAGCAACCCAAACTCCCCAAGCGCAGGCTTCGTGTAAAGCCAATGTACCCTAGAGATGGGAATGGCTCCATGTCCTAGGCTGAGGCAGTCTCTGCCCCCAGTCTGGGAGCTGACCTGAAGACAGTGCCCGACCCTGACAACTTCCACATCCCAGGCCCAGCTTTCAGTGCTGGCCATGGAGGCACATTACCTGGCTGATTGCAGGGTGGGCGATACTGCCTGTCCTTGTACTCTGTGGGTAAAACACAAGACGTCACTCAGCAGGATAGCAAGTGCTGGACAAGGAAGGGTGAACAGGGATGGGGATATGATGGGAGACCACAGCCGTGGAGCTGAGGGGATTTGGGGACAGCAAAGTTGCTCTTGTCTCATCTCCATGGCAGTCCCCAATGCAGCGAGTTGGGAATGCTGTGCTACATGGAAAGCATTGCTTACCTTTCCTCCTCCGATAAAACCACAGGGCTCCCGCTCCAAAGACAAGGAGGATGCCGACTGCAGCAGCCAATATGATGTAGGTATTTCCTGCAACCTTCTCACCTGAAGGAGCTGGAGAGGTAGAATGACAGGGGCCAAGATGGCTGCTTTCTGAGGGCCCTTCATTCCTCAGGTCTCTCCCCCAGTCCACTCCCTGGCCCAGAGCCTAGACCTATCCCTGACTCAGTGTTGTCACCCTGGGAAGGGCCCTTGGCCTGTCCCAGCACCCCATGTGCACCCCTGCCTGACCTTCTCCCACCACCGCTCTCCCTGCATGGGCCTGTTCTGCAGTGATGGCCACTACTCGTCCCCATCTGCAGCTCCCCTAGTGAGCAATGTTCCCAGCCACAACCAGGACAGATCCTCCACTTCCCAGTCCACAGCTCTCCCCTACAGCTTCCCCTTCACCCTGCAGCCTGCGCTCCGACAGCAGCCAGCCTCAACTGCTTTAGGAGACATTGGAGGATCCTTTCCCAACCTCTTCTGCTGGTTGGAGATGTGTCATTTCAGCTCCCTGTGCTCCAAGCAAATGCCCTGCCTTTTCCTGAGTCCTGATGCTTCAGATCCTGGGCTGACCCATCAGACAGTTGGGAGCTCTCCTGGGCAGCAACAAGTGCCTGACTCTGCCTGAGTTTGCTGGGAGCCTGAGCCCATAACAGTGAGATGGAGATCTGCCAGTGCAAGCTCAGTTTGCAGCCTCCAAGGTTTGGACATGAAAGGAGGCAGCTGGAAGCACTCTCGTGTGTCATCCACTTTCCCAGCCCCCATAGTCCAGCACTTACCCCAGGCTGCCCTCAGTGGGGTCTCCCCCAGGCTGCTGTGCCGCACCACACACACGTGCTCTGCAGGGCTCTCCCCCAACTCGATCTTCACCCGGATCTGGAAGGTGTGGTCTTTATTGGGTCGCAGCCCACTGGTCTGCTGCTCCCCCTCAGCCGTCTGGCCCTGCCGCTCCCAGGTCACCTCGATGTCGCGGGGGTAGAACCCTGTTACATGGCAGGCAAGGGACTGCAGCTGCCCCTGTGATGCTGGGTTCAGGCTCAAATGCACATTTGGTTTGGCTAGGAGAGAGTAAGGGAGAGAGAGTGGAGCTGTGAAAGGACACCTCCCCACCTGCTTGTGGTCCCATCAGCTGTCCTGGTCCTTGATTCCCTGTGATCCATGCCACGTAGGGAACCACTCCTCCATGTCAGGCACTCTCAGCTGCCTGCCTGCCATCATTTTCACTGGAAGTGCTATAAGCCCTGATCCAACCTCCTTTGCCTAAACCCCCGAATAGTCAGGCTGGCAGGAAATCTCTGAGGAGAATAGGTTTTCTTCAGAAACAGTTTATTCACCAAAGGTAAGAGATATTGCAGGAGGGGGTCAATACTTGCAGAACTTCCCGCAGAAGCAGGCTGTCTTCCCCCTCCAGCCACCTTCACCACCCACCCTGCTTCTCATAGACTTTCAGAGAGATGAAAAGCCAGGAGGCTGGGAGCAGGAGCCCCAGAGAATACATTTTGTCCAAAGATTCAATATTTTCAGGAGGTGGGAGGCATGGGTTCTTCTACTGTCCTCAGAGTCTCAAGAATGCAGCCATTGGGTGGGAGGTCTTGGATGGGACTAAGTTGAGGGCAGGGGTAGCAGTAGGCCCCAGGTTTGGAGTGAATGCCACTTGCAGAACTGTTTGAGGAGCCTAGAGATGAGAGCAAAGGGGGCTATGAATCAGGAGCAATGGCAGGGCCTGGAAAAGGAAGACTGGAATAGCACCTGCAGAGTTGTACTGAAAGAGAGGCCTATGACAGCCTACGCTTGCAGGTTGGGATGAAGGGGCATAGGCAGAGCCAGTGGCATCTTACCTGTCTTCTGTGCAGAAAATGGTGCAGTCATCTGGATGAGGAATCTGCATATCTGAGGGCTTGGTGTGTTCATGCCCTCCAGCTTCTGCCTGCCTTGGTTCCACTTCTCAGCCAGTCTCTGGGCAGCTGGGTGTGTGTGGTACCATTGCTTCTGGTCTCTCTGGTAATGTAGAATATCTTCGCCATTAAGGGCAAGCCTGGTGACAATTGTGGTGGCCCCTGTGGCTTCATCCAAATCACAGGTGTGCAAAACCTGCATGTAGTAGAGCTCTGGAGACAAAATCCATATGGTTAAAGACCATATTCCTGGCTCCAAGACCTACTTTTTGTAACCCACTAAACTCCACTAGAGCTGGGAGAGAAGGAAGGAGTTTGGGCTTCCCCATCCCTACCTAACCAGAAGTCTCCATTCCCCTCATAGTCCAGGGGAGAACCCCCCCAGTAGTCCTGACCCTCAGCTGCCTCTCCTGCTCTAACCCGTTGGTTATCAGGGCAATGGCCCGTCTTTCATGCCCACATCACTCTTGCCTCATAACCCATACAGGCGGTGTCCATCTCTTTTCAAAGGTGACCTGAACGCAGAAGAGGACACTCACCTGTCCTTTGGGAGCTGGCATTCACTGCCTGCACCAGGGCCTTAAACTCGGTCTCGATCCAGAGCTCCCACACCTGGCACTCGGTGTTCCCTCCCCTCCACCGCTCCTGGGCCTCTTGGGTCTCAGGGTTGAAGCCATTCCGGGTTGTCAGCCTTTTGGTGGTGCTGTCATAGTATGTGAACACCAAATAGTTCATTATCTGCATGTTCTGTGTCCTTGGCAATCCTGGCACCTCCTGAGACAGGATGAGCTGGGAGCGGGAGTAATGATGAACCCCTTTGGGAAGGAATTCGTGTGAGTGAGAGAGCAGGGCAGGGAATGGAACCCAGGCATCTGGGTTGGCAGAATAGGGAGGAGGATGCAGCCACTTACCAGCCAAGATGACAGAGCAGAGCGCCTGGAGCCAGGAGACCAGCAGGATGGGGTTGGTCTGAGGAGCCATTGTCCTGGAGGGGGCAGAGAACCAGGGTACGCTTGTCATGCATGCTTAACAGGGAGCACTGAAGTATCCTTGTTCAGGGGGAGGAGATCTCCAGGCCTGACAGCCCCAGAGACATGTGGAGTGCCCTATGGGGTTCTGAAGGCTAGATAAGCACCCCCAGAGGCCTCAGCACCCTCTGTGGTGGTGAGCAGATGCAAAGTACAAAGAAAGTCAAATCTAGTTTCAGCCCTAGCCTTTCCTGAGACCTAGAAGCCATGGGTTAGAAACTCTCAGGGGAGAACCCAGGTCTTCCCCATCTTGGGGGTGCACTGACAACAAGACTAGTTTTGTGATCACTGCCACCCAAGTTCCTGAATGACTGCAGAGCTTAGAGCCACCAGGCACCTGTACATGTCACAGGGTTTAATCCTCATTCAATGAAATGGGTTTATAAAATTTTAGCATGTTAATATTGGAGTGTTGCATCAGTATTTGCACATACTAGGTTTTCAAGTGAATTAAGCCCGGTCCCTGGCTGGCAATGCAGGAAAGCAGGACAGTCCTGCACTGCCCCTTTGCCTTCCCCACCCCGCCCACCGCATCCCGTGCCCTGCCCCACAGCTGTGGGAGCAGGGAGCCGGCACACACAAGAAAAAAGAAAAAAAAGCGGAAGCAATTGGAAAGCAGCAAAAATTAGAAGGGGCGAACTATAAAAAAGTTGCAGTGCCACTTGGTGTACAAAGAGGCTCATTACATGTCTTTGAGTACATTTGTGTTTGCACATAACTAATCCATGGACACGATGCTTTAATTTCCAGCAAGCCAAACTAAACAACATCCGACGAGTTTTCATTTTTAATGCTCCAGAAAGACTTTTAAAGCATCCAGAAATCCCGCTTCTGTAAACAGTCATGCCGTTGCAGTGTATAAAAATGCAAAAAAAAAGGGGTGTACACAAATGTCCACCCTCATTGCTCTCTGTGTATCTTATGTGTGGTTATAGGATGCCTACCAGGGATGTAGCCCCAAGGGAGCATAGCTGGTTAATCCCAAGAGCCCTTAGGTGAATGGTAGGCTGCTACCCACTCGGTGCAGTCAAAATGGCAGCACTTCCATCCCCAAGTAGTAGCTGAACTTGAAGGCACCTTAAACAGCTTTTCTGTCACAAGCAGGTGCCTTGGGGATCCCAAAGACCGAAGCATGTTACTCAGGCTTTTGTGAACTGCTTTCTTGGACTTTTGCACTTAATATCTTATCTCTTGTACGGCATTGTCACATCCTGGCTGAGACATTCTGGGTCCATGCCACCCATCCACACCTGGTTGCTCTCTCCAGACCTAGACATACACCAGCCAGCTTGCTCTAGGCAGCCTCCTGCCGCTGCTTTTCAGCATGCAGGGCACTCAGAAACTCACAGGCACACTTCTGGGGCTGGAGCCAGGGGGATGGAGGCGCACACCTCAAGTGTGTCCCGGCTGGAACATGCCACTGTGGAGATGGAGACATGCCTGAAGTTCCTGTTTTTAGCCAACTCTGTTCCTGTTTGAATATTGCTCCAAGATAATTTGACTCTCTGTACTGCGGGGAGCTGAGGGGAGCGGATAGGGCAGGTGGAGAAAGAGATCACACCTGTGTGTCAGCCTGAATCTCAGCTCTCACATAGAAAGGCAGTCTCCTGTTACCACAGGAATAAGTCATGCTTGCTGCAGCAACAAGCCAGTTGGAAGGTGCAGACATGCCTGTATCTGATGCTAATGCAGTGGAAAACACTTGAGCTCCCCAGACAACCTGAGCAGTAATTTAAGTCAGCAGGGAGGGTGGGGACTAGATCCTTTACTAACTGTTTGGGGCCAGAGCAGATCGAAAAGCCTCAGCGCCGTTCCTAAAAACACTGTTAAGGCAAAAGGCAAATGTGTGGGGTCCTCCTCCGCCTCACTGTTTCATGTGATTTTTAGGTTTGTGGCTTACATGATGATGTATTACCAAAGAAGACACGCTTTTCAGGGACTCAAGCAGGGTAGGGCAGAACCACACATAGGCTCAGTGTTAGTGGGATGTGAGCTCTAAGTTTTTAGCTACAGCAATGAGAGGAGAGATTTCCAGGGCATGGACCAGTGGATGGGGCCATGATTAACTTTGCTATTAAACTAGATTTGTGGGTGTAGCCTTTCACTCCATAAGATATTGTGATAGGCCCCCTAGCTGGCCTACCATGCCCACAGACTGCAATAGTGCTCCCCAAATCTTGGAAGCACAGTTCAAATCTCATCTCCATTTTAAAAGCCCAAACAGCAGGGAATCTCCCAGCCTCCCTGGGAAGCCACTTCATGGTTTAATGGCCTTTATAGCTGGAAATCTGGGTCTAGTTAGGAATTTGTGTCATTCTAGCTTTTGCTTCTCGCCAGTGGAGTTCATTTTGTCTGCAGGCTGGAAAACCTCTCCCCTGCTGTCAGGGCTGGGGGCAGTTGTGCAATGTAACTCCAACATGGGGGAAGCTGCCAGACCTGGGAGACTGCTGCTGAGCCTCGAACCATAAATGAAGGAGCTGAGGACAGCTTAATCGAGGGGCCAGGGCAGAAAATACAGATTAAAAAAAAAGATGAGGGAGTATGGACAGGTGGATTTCTGTCCTTAATGAGTGAATTCAGTGGATGGGTGAATTCCTTATTTCTACAGCCTGGATATCCCTGCTGCTTCCACCGCTCTGAGTCTCTAGATCTGCCCCAACTCCCCTGCTACCAATGTACTGGGGGGCAGGGAGCCTCCTCCTCCCTTCCCATACCTCCTACTCCCCAGGCATCATCAGTCATCCCTTTTTCTCTGCCTCTATAACCATTCCCTAACCCAGCTCTCCTTGCCAACCTTCATACTCCCAGCCTGCCTCTATTACTCCAAAAAGCCCCCAAAACCCCATGCATCTCACCTCTTTTGAGCTGTGTTTTTCTGCTGCACAGAAGGGGAAACGGCTGCCCTTCCTCTTCAAACTACTTTCACTTTACACTTGAGAAGCTTTCTGGAAGTCACGTGCCTATCCTCTCAGCCTGAAACCCCACGCACTGCACTGATGCTTACAATACTCTAAGCCACCATGGGACAGGAATCACTCCACAGGCTTGGCAGAGGCAGGGAAGGAAGCCTCACTCCCCGCCACATATCCCCACCCCTTCCCAAATCCTAACCTGTTCACTACCGAGGCTTGCATTGGCAGTGCCACTGGGGCTGTCACTGTAACAGGCAGTTATGACACACACAGAGCACTCAGGGCTGAGACTGTTTCAGGTGCTGCGCAGACCCTGAGTAGCTAGTGTGCTATGTGCTATGCAGCTTCACAGGAAGAGACAGGCTGAAAAGACAAAGGCTAAGAGATTAAACCAGGGGCTGACAACATTTTGGGGCAGACTACCCAAAACATCCACAACCTTGACTTGTAAAACATTGATGTGCTAGGGGCAGACAACAGCAGAGTCACGAGAGGCCCGTTCCCTGTTGTAGCAGCGCAGCCCTGGCCCCTTTCCTGCCATCCACCCCAAGGCCCACACACCAACAAAATACCTTTGAGTGCCACACTCTGGCACCTGTGCCAAGGGTTGCCAACCCCTGGATTAAACTGAAACACAGAACAGAGAAGTAATTTTTCAAGGTCATGCAGCTGTGGTGACCATGTTTGTTATTACCCTGAAATAGAATAGTTTTCTGATAGCATACTGTTAGGTCAACAATAATTTGGATTATTAAGAAGTATTAGCTTTACAGCTGAATACAAGGCATGCAAAAGTTTAATATCAAAGGAGAAAAATCAGGACCCCCTGGAGCCCGCCCCTGGGCTTATACTCCCTTTAAAAAACTACATATAAATTTTGCAGATATGCCTAAAGACAATGGGTACAAAAACCTCCTAGTAATTCTTGACCAACTCACGGGGTGGGTAAAAGCCTTCCCCACCAGAACAGCTACAGCACAACAAGTAGTAAAAATACTCTTTAATGAAATTATACCCAAGTTTGGTCCTCCATGTATCATTAAAAGCAATCAAGGATCACATTTTACTGCTGACTTAAATAAAACACTGGCCAGCTGCCTAGGAATAGAATAGAAGTTCCATACCCCTTGGCACCCAAAAAGCTCAGGACAAGTAGGGAAAATGAATCAGACCCTAAAACAAAAAATTAAAAAGCTATGTGCTGAGAGCGGGTTAAAATGAACTAAGACTGTCCCACTGGCTCTTATATCCATCAGATCAACCCCCAGGAGAAAACTAAAGCTCAGCCCTTACAAACTGCTGTTTGAACACCCTGTTCCCCAACATTTCCCCTTACTACTGGCTCACACTTCTTCTCTTTTATAATCATAATCATTCTCTTCATAATATGGCTTTTATAACTATGTTATTTCTAATCTTTCTCTTTGCTGGAGAAATAAGTCTTTCACAGGGGTCGGCTATAGCTGCCAGTTGCTGAAGATATGCTAATCCTGGTGCCCAAGGTTTTCCTGTCTGGATAAGCGATTCAATCGAACTCTCTGATATAGACGGGAAGGTCAACATTGCCCGTTGGTATCCTCCCTCACATTGCTGTAGTTCAGCAGAAGTTTGGGTATTTACTTATGGAACAGAATATTGTGTAAAGCCTAGCCGCCCAGTTTTCAGACAATTTGCAGAGTCTCCTCAGGCTAAGACTACTCTTAAACCTACTGTTGCCCATATCTCTGATAATAATATGTATCTCCAATACGTTGACAGAGCTGCTAAAGCAGAAAACCAAAGTGATTGTTGGGTGTGCAGTCATTTTCCTCTCCACACTCAAGGAGGAATTCCCATGACTCCTATCCCCTTGGGCCCCATCGAGTCACTTTTAAACCCCTCTAATAACCAAGCTTGGGACCAAAGTCAGCAGGACTTCCTTTTAATAAAGCCTGTTGTTGGAGATTGGTGTTTCTATGTAAATTGTCCAGTATCAAACTGCATCAATTTAGGCACCAGCATATGTCACCACTATTTTACTAGTTCGATTAGAGGAGACTGGCGTAATAATGATACAGCAACTCCTACCTGTTGCAGCTCTTACAATAATTTCTACAGCAGCAACATTTTAACCAAGGGCACTAATCCTATCTGTACCCCCATCTCCTCTTTAAATAATACCTTGTAGTATTGTTTGTACACTGATACCTCCCAGGGACAATGCTTCTTCAATGGAACTGCAAATCCTTCCTTTAAATCAAAGGGTGAGCGCAGAGTGCTAAAACTAGAAAATGGGGGTCGAATACCTCCTAAGTATTCAAACCTCACTGCTTTAAAAAGACAATACTGGGTCTGTGACTCCCACGCCTACCATAAAATCCCTGCCAAAGGAAAAGGTATCTACTATCAGCAATGCTAAAACCCTCTACATCCTTCGCCACACACCTTCCACGGGGCAGGTGGCAAAACAAGAGGGATTTGCAAGAAAGCCGTGATATAGTAAACAAAGATCAAAAAACTCCGCTTACCAAAGGAGTATTAGTCGGGTGTTCTTTAGCAGGTATACTCCCGGGAATAGGCACTGCTTGTCTTGGAAGATTTATACTACGCCTCCAAGCTGTGATAAAAATCATAGCTCACGAATTCAGCAAAGGTCACAAAGACCTCTCGAAGGCCGTTGCTGCCTTGGCTGACACCCAAGAAGAACTCCGACAAATGGTCATTCAAAACCGTATAGCCCTTGATTTTCTCCTCGCTGCTCAAGGGGGAGCTTGTGCGGTTATCGGACCAAAATGTTGTATATGGGTTAACAGTTCTTTTACCATAGTACAAACCCACCTCAATGATGCAGCTGTACATATCCAAAAAGCCAAAGTTGTAGCTAAAATCCCCAAAGATGCATCTCTTAGCTGGCTTACTAACTGGTTCTCTTCCCTTACAGGATGGCTTAGACCTTTTATGCGAAGTATAATTGAAATAGTTATAACTATAGTCTGCCTGTTATGCTGTTTTCAGTGTTTATGCTCTCTAGGACAACAGTTTATGCAAAGGCAAATAAAAATATATGGTCAGTTTATACAAATATCCAGCAACATTCATCAAAACCTAACCCCACAGGAATTTGAATACCTAAAAGTGTGTTCCAAAATTCCCTCTGAAAAATTAAAACAAAGGTGGGACCTGTGGTGAGCATGATTGTTGTTACCCTGAAATAGAATAGTTTTCTGATAACATACTGTTAGGTCAACAATAATTTGGATTATTAAGAAGTATTAGCTTTGCAGCTGAATACAAGGCATGACCTGTGGCCTAGCAGCGTCGCTGACCACAAGGCAGAATGATAGCTAAGCCTTTGCTTGTGTCAAGTAATCATTTTAACTGTGTTAAGCATTTTCTGAGTAAAATGCAGCAAGCGGATCTGTGTCTGTGTGCTGGAAAATCAGCTACAGCAAGGAACAAGATAACACAAAGAAGCCATTGTTCTAAGTACAGTGATCGTGTCCTTAAGAAGTATCTACCACTGCAAGTTCTTGCTAACGTATCATAATGTTACTGTTACTTAACTTTTAGCTTTTAGAAAATGCTAGGTCAGCTTAATAGATATATGCTGTTGTAAAGATTTGTGAAGCACCGCCCAAGTATTGCTTTTGTTAACCCTGTAGTCTTGCCTTGTTAAAAAAAGTATAAAAGATTGCCCCACACTTTAGGGGGGGCCATTTTGCCTTTTGCTGGCTTTATGGTCTTTGCTCGAGCAAATAAACAGCTGTCAATTCTTTACCCGCGTTGTCTGGTATCTATTGCAGCTAGATAACGAACTTTAGGGAGTTTTCTCCCACCACACAGCTAGTGACAATGCTGAGAATTCAACCCAGCTGTTCTGAGCCCCAATCAACTTCTCGATCCTTTACTAACTGTTTGGGGCCAGAGCAGATCGAAAAGCCTCAGCGCTATTCCTGAAAACACTGTTAAGGCAAAAGGCGAATGTGTGGGGTCCTCCTCCGCCTCACTGTTTCATGTGACTTTTAGGCTTGTGGCTTAAATGATGATGTATTACCAAAGGAGACACACTTTTCAGGGACTCAAGCAGGGTGGGGCAGAACCACACATAGGCTCAGTGTTAGTGGGATGTGAGCTCCAAGTTTTTAGCTACAGCAATGAGAGGAGAGATTTCCAGGGGATGGACCAGTGGATGGGGCCATGATTAACTTTATTATTCAACTAGATTTGTGGGTGCAGCCTCTCACTGCATAAGATATTGTGATAGGCCCCCTAGCTGGCCTACCATGCCCACAGACTGCAATAGTGCTCCCCAAATCTTGGAAGCACAGTTCAAATCTCATCTCCATTTTAAAAGCCCAAACAGCAGGGAATCTCCCAGCCTCCCTGGGAAGCCACTTCATGGTTTAATGGCCTTTATAGCTGGAAATCTGGGTCTAGTTAGGAATTTGTGTCATTCTAGCTTTTGCTTCTCGCCAGTGGAGTTCATTTTGTCTGCAGGCTGGAAAACCTCTCCCCTGCTGTCAGGGCTGGGGGCAGTTGTGCAATGTAACTCCAACATGGGGGAAGCTGCCAGACCTGGGAGACTGCTGCTGAGCCTCGAACCATAAATGAAGGAGCTGAGGACAGCTTAATCGAGGGGCCAGGGCAGAAAATACAGATTAAAAAAAAAGATGAGGGAGTATGGACAGGTGGATTTCTGTCCTTAATGAGTGAATTCAGTGGATGGGTGAATTCCTTATTTCTACAGCCTGGATATCCCTGCTGCTTTCACCGCTCTGAGTCTCTAGATCTGCCCCAACTCCCCTGCTACCAATTAGCCCTCCCTAAACACCCCTCTCCCCAAAAACCTCTTTCTCCCCTGCCATCATCAGCCATGGTTCCCTAGCTGTATAACCATTGCCTCCCTTACCCTTTCTTCAATACCCTCCACCAGCTGCCACCTACTGGCCCAGTAACCCAACCCTCCCTGCCAGCCTTCGTACTCGCCACCAGCCTCCACTACTCCCAGCAGCCCCCATAACCCCGTCCTCCATCTCACCTCTTTTCAGATGCAAGTGTCTTTCTGTTGCGCAGAAGGGAAAACGGCTGCCCTTCCTCTTCAAGCTACTTTCACTTTACACTTGAGACAGCTTTCTGGAAGTCACGTGCCTATCCTCTCAGCCTGAAACCCCACGCACTGCACTGATGCTTACAATACTCTAAGCCACCATTGGACAGGAATCACTCCACAGGCTTGGCAGAGGCAGTGAAGTAAGCCCCACTCCCCCCCAGTGAAGTAAGCCTCACTCCCCGCCACACATCCCCACCCCTTCCCAAATCCTATCCTGTTCACTACCGAGGCTTGCATTGGCAGTGCCACTGGGGCTGTCACTGTAACAGGCAGT